GTCCCTGTGCTTTGCTAAGCTTGTTCTAAGTAGGTGCTTTAGACCACTGAGCCATCTCACCAGCCCCCATCTCAATATATTGCTAAAGAAGAATCAATAAAGTTCAACAGCTATTTATGATAGATGACCTCTGTCTAAACCTGATAAAAATTGATGGTCAAAACTGTATAAGAAGCTTCCTACCTAATACATGAGTTTAAAAAATCATGTATTTACATTCATGAACATAATGAAAATGTCCACCACTACTTCATGATAGTAGAAGTCCTGGACAAAGCTCTAGACCAGATGAAAATGAAGATTAATTAACTAATATATTTTGTGCTATTTTAATATGGGATGAATATCTTAACTTTTCAAGTGTATGACAGTAAAAGAAACTTTGCCAATAATTTCTGTCTTGGTTGCTTTTCTATCAATGCTGGGATGAAATAACTAACACCCAATGTTAAGGAAGGAAAGGTTTATTTAGCTCACCATTGGAGGAGGTTTCAGTGTAAACTCTGCTGGCTCCAAGGTAGAGTGGCACATGGCAGAGCGCAACAGTGCACGGGGTCAGAGCACGGCAAGAGCAGAAAAAGCAAAAGGGAGGAACAGCATCAGAGGGCAAGCCTCGCCTCCTTCCTTACACTGTAGGCAGGCAGCCTGCCCAGGGTGGGGTAACACTCACACTATAGCCCAGCATTGGACCATGAACCAATCACAAACTCTATAAGCCCACTCTGTGACTGTGTGAGGCTTTGGAGCGACATCCAGAGGTCAGCCATGACAATTTCCCTCAAAAATGCTCTTTTTTTTTGTGGAACGGGGGATTGAACTCAGGCCCTTGTGCTTGGGGGATTGAACTCAGGCCCTTGTGCTTGCCATGCAAGCGCTCATTCAAAATACTCTTGTTTGCTTCAAACACTTATCCCATTGATCTGGAGCCCCTTTGAAACTGTCCTAGCAGTGCTCCTGCATGAGTGCCTTCTTTAGCTGCGCTATCACGGCTGGCTCCATGTCCTGGATCCATTCAGGCATTTGCATCTCATCATTATTTTAACTTTAGGGACGAGCCAGAGTCACTCAGTCCCAGACCAGGTAAATAAGGTGACAAGGACACTGGAATGCTCTCATGAGCCTGCGATGCCCTTGAATGGCACTTGGCAGACTCCTCACCATGTGTGTACCACCTCTCACGAAGACACAGAAAAGGACTTCCAGAGCTGCTTCAGAAAGCAGCAAGCACAGTGGAACAAGCGCATTCAGAGCTAGGGGGTGAATTACGAGGAAGTTTCATGGCAGAGTGTGGTTTACTGTAATGAATTTTAAAATGATAAACAGTCACCACAAACTGAATTACTTCTTGCAGTTTTGAACAAAGGCAAGGAAGGCAGAACCATCTCATTAGATCCTGACACATTATACATATATCCTAATGGCCATAAAGCCAATAAGTAAACCGGTGGATAAGCAGAGCCCAAAAACCACTTATGTCTGATGGTGGGCACATCTGCAAGCCCAGAATGAACGTGAGAGAGTGAGTTTGCTGAGACTGAACAGATTTCGTCCTCCCACATCAGCCTCAGCATTTTAGGGAAAAAGTTCAAGGAGAACCTGAGTCACTTCTCAGATGGGGGTCAGGCCTCAGTGAGGGATCCTGACTCTGCTGGGCAAAATATCTAAGGGAAGAAAGTGGCCTTGAAGCTGGGAGCTGCCCAAGAGAGCCCAGAGGTCCTGTGCGTGTGCGATGGATTTCACTCCAGAGCGCAGCTGGGTGAGATGCTGGGATCCTGGATGCAGTGTCGTGTTTTCCTTGTAAGGCCGGGGATGCGATATATACACAGTAGGAGAGCCCTGAGCTTTCCACGCTGAGCTGTCCCCCAGCCCCTGCCTGGGCCTGATCCTCTCAGCTTGCAACACTAGGACCCTGAGGAAGCCACCTCTCTTCTGCTGTCAATTTTCTCATCTCCGAAACTGTCCCAAGAGCAGTCAGGTGGAGAAGGAGGCAGCTTGGAAATGAGAGGTTGGAGGTCACACAGAAGCTGTGGGTCTTTTTTTTTTTTTTTTTTTTTTTTTCAATTTTATTGAGAAACACATAGCAATGAGATAGTTTCAAAACCAATTAGTAGGACAGTTTCAATAACTAATACATTGTATACTGTTGTCTTACTGGTTATTCATGGTACAAGATGCAGACATGATATCCTGTCTACAAACACTATTAGAACAAATCTGGGGACAGGATTTCTGTAGCTTTATCTCTTTTATGGGATTGGACCTGGACATGCCCTCACAGAGCACTTACCTACTGTAGAGCATACAAAACTGGGAATTACACTCTGCATTAGTGGATATGCTCATCTGACCAGTTACAGCTCCGCACTCTACTATGTAAGCTAGGAGGCCCGGGACCTCTGCTCTTCGGAGGATCTGCTGGGGGCCTTAGTGTAGAGTGTGAGCCAAGCAAACAAACCAGTGAATCCTTAGTGCTTTTTATAACAGTCTTTATTTCTGGGCTGGCTTTGGGAGAGAGAGAAAAGGAGACTGAAAACCAATCTTTTCTACTATGGTCTTTGTGAGTTCTGAAGAGAAGGCTGTTGTTGGCTCTGAGCTGCTGCTGGGGCCTGGAATGTGGGCCCTGAGGATGGACCTCGAGACTGAAGCTGTGAGGGACTGGAGGCTGGAGCCTGGGGGTAGGCTTCTAAGGTGGTGCTGGATTCTTGGCTCCAAGATCACCCATGGCTACCTGCTCTGGATAGTTTTTTCTATCCACCATTTGAATTTGCAGAGGTTCGTGTAGATGCCTGTAAATCCAGGTCGCCCACAGGGAGCGACTCCCCAGGACACAATGCCCTGCAGAAACCCACGGCAGACCAAGGGGCTTCCAGAGTCTCCCTGTTGAGAGAAGAGAAGAACAAGTTAGGGATTGGAAGACAGGAGGGAGGGAGAGACGCATAGAAAGCCAGAAGCGCAAAGAGGCAAAGGGAGAGTGAGAGAGCAGGGCGGAAGTACACAGTGCAGGAACCTGAGACAGTAGTAGGGAGGCAGCCCCAGCCGGCCCCAGAGACACGTGGGTGCAGGAGGCGGAGGTGAGGGGGAGACAAAGAGACCCTGGTGACTGTCCGACAGTGAAGGCAGGGAGACCTGAGGGCCCAACTGGAGGGCAATGCCCTTAAAACCCAAGCCATGAAACCATAGCACTGTAGGCAGCCAGGGCCATTCCTTCCGGCCTATCAAATACCAGCTGTCCCTTCCAGGCCTGGGAAAGGTCCCCTGAGGAGCTCCATCTCTTGCCTGCATCTCATTTTCCAGCCCTGGCTGAGGTCCAATGGGAGGGGCAGACTGGTTGAACCAGGACTTAGGGCTGGGTAGCCAGTGGAGTTGAACATGGAGCTGTGCTTGGCAGCAGGGCTGGATCCTGAATGTAGTCACCAGTGTGTGCCTACAAGTTTGCGCCATCTCTCTGGAGCCTCCTGCTGTCCCTCCTGGGGTTTTCCTTTCATCCCCTGTCTCTCAACACCAGGGCTCCACGTGGCTCTGCCAGCTGCTTGCTTGTGGCTCTCCTGGCCTTTCTCTGTAGCTACTTTGCCCTGTTCCTCTTTGTTTCTTTCTCACCCACCCAGTTTCATCTTTCTGTTTTTCTTTGCATCTGCATCTTCCCAGGGTCCTCTGAGGCTTGAAAGTTTCCCTTGTTCCTTCATGGCCTTGTGCTCTCTGTGGGTTTTACAACCCCATCTCCTTTCAAAACATTTGCCTCTCTGTCCAGGTCTCTTACCCGGCAAGAATCCTTGGTGCCCTCACCCCCAGCGCAGAACATAGTGCGGTCAAAGTATGCCAGATACTCTTTTTTGCAGGACTCTCTTGATAGCACTGGAATAAGCGCACACTGCAGAACATCAGGGTATTGGCCTGTGACAAAGACAGTAAGGTAAGAAACGCTCCTGGGCAGAGACAGCCCCGGGTGTCAATGAGTCCAGACACATAAAACATATACAACACCCAAACTCACCATTCAACAGCTGACCCCAGCCGGAGATCCAGCACCTCGTTCCAGGTTTGGGACATTCAGAGGAGATGGGGATGGTGCGGATGGTGCTTGTTTCCACAACCGGTTTACTCAATTTGATGAGCATGATGTCACTGCCATTCCAAGTCTTGTAGTATTTTGGGTGTTTCACAGACAAACTGGCCTCAATCATCAGACTACCTGGTTCATATGGTGGGTCACGTCTGTGCAGGCCCAGGCCAATGGTGTAGGATCTGAGGGCGATGTCAGTCAGTACGATCATAACTAAGCCCTGTCCAAAAGCCTGAACTCACATGCAGGCCCAATTCCAATCTTACCCTCACCCCAAACTCATCCTCAGCATCAGTCCCGTCCAGATCCCCGTCCCCAGTCTCCACCATGCTCAGACCCATCCCTGGTGCCAGCCTCCTGCTGCCTCCT